ATAATGAAAACATTGAAAATTCCATTCACATTAGTTTATTCTGAGTGATGTTCATTGATTGTTCATTATGTCTAAGTCTCGATTATCCAATTTATTGTTATTTTTTTATATCTCGCGGGTGTTCTAATCCATTTGAATCTCGGTCATCCGATTGTCTAGAGAGTTGATTACAGACTCTCTATGTGAACAATTGTCTAAACAATAGTTTTTATAACATTTGAAGCCAATATAAATACCTGCAATAGGCGAAGTTAACTCTTGCATAATGTATCTTTAAGTATAAACACATCTTTGTTCTGCGTTACCTGCATATTGCTTAATCATATTTATTTCTAAAATGTTAAAACATAGATATGCCGTCACCCTTTGATGTTTTAAACCATTATATAGGAGAATGTACGCTTTTCTTCTATTGTTTAAGAAAATACCAATAATAGACACGTATCTGAAAAATGAAAATGTATTTTGGGATAATTTATTCTCTGAACAAATTAAATTACAGAACATGAAATTACATTAAAACCTCATAGTTACCGAATTGTCACATGGCCGTTAAATGTCACTTATCCATTTAATATACGTTTCTATACGCCCACATTTTCACACCTTCTTTGTGGACACTCTACAGGTCATAACTTGAAATATAGGTTTATATCCCAAACATCTCGTTTCCTTTCGACTTTGGCTTGTATGGGACCGTAACTTCATGGATTACGGCCCCTGACTGTACACACTAGAAGTCACAATTATTAGCCCATTTTGATGAAACTGAACATGTGTATTTATAACCCAAAGATCTCAATTCCTTGCAATATTGGCACATATCGGACCGTAACTTCCTGGATTATGGCCCCGGATTGAACAAAAAAACGTGTTTTGAGCCTGTGGAACTATGCAGGTCACAATTTTTATCCGATTATAAAAAAAACGTTCAAATATATCACCGTTACACTATAATAACAGTTGAGTTTGAATTTCGTGAATTGGTTTGTGCCTTTGATCCTGTGTTCTGTCACTTTATCAGAGTATATATTAAATCTTAAATCAAAATTGGGATGGCTAGTACCCTCCATATTAATTACAGTATTAAGAAAATTATCAATATCTAAATCATTCTCGTGAGCAGCCTTTCCATCACAACTTTGACGGCTATTATCCCCCATATCAAGAACATCACAATTTTTACGTCTATAGTCTTCCATATCGAGTACATTACCAATGTAATCAGTATCCAAATGCTTATCACATATATTCTCATTATTAATATTTGTTTTCGACTGTGTTGTAAACATGTCGTCTCCATGTAGAATATTTTGGACTGTCTGTGTATGCTTGCATTGTATGACTGGAGTGTTTTGTCACAGGCATTCATGAGCATGTGCATGTTGTTTTAAGAATATGTCCATTATTTTATGGCTTGTTGTTTTAGAAAACTATCCATTATTTGTATCTCTATGGTGCTATGGTTTAAGTTTGATAGTAGCCTCAGACTGTCCATTATGTAAATAGAAAGAACAACTGAGGGGCGTTAGCCCCTTAGTTTTTCTTTGTATTTACATAATGGACAGTCTTCGGCCATTATCCATCACTTACATCTATCATTTATTTGAACTCCTTTAATGATATCATCATAAGCGTACATTTATGTTTGATATAATATATAATCACGACCAATTGAATATTTAACATATGTTGCTTAGTGAAATATATTTACATAATGCAGCTTTAACTTGTGCATGTAGTTTACTGGGTAAAAAGATCGTTAAATCGATAACTTTTAAGGCATAGGTACATTAAAAACGTATTAGCAATGTGAACTACTCAAGGTGTTCTATCAATATTATAGTTTTTGTCATCATTCTGTTATGCATCATGTATGGGATGGACCAGGATTAACACCAGTAAATATTAGTTTTGATCATCATTCTGTAATGCATCATGTATGGGATGTAGAAATGGTTCCACTACTGATGTCTTCCGTCTTGCTCCAGCCACAGTAGTGGCCTGTCCTAAGGCCTTTTGACTACAAAAAGTGGCCTATAACTCCCTTAATTTCCAATCACACTGACCCCAAACTGTACTGTACATAGCTTAACATATAATAAACCAATTCCCGTTGAAATAAAGGTGAAGCCTTGCCCTATAATTATATGATTTGATTAAACCCAACTGCAAAATTTCTGTTCACTTTGAAATGGCCACCAAACCAGAATCACGTGTGTCATGTCACTCGAAAATACGGAAAAACTGTTTGGTAAGATAAGATTATGATTTCAGTGTTCCACTCTTTACTATTTGTAAAATAATTACTTATCAAATTGTGATGAAATGTGTTGAAAATTTTGCAATTAAGCCTAATTTTATTTGCTCAATGCCTCGAATAGAGTATCAATTGCAGCTGTAGATAAGAATTGTCACGGCTATAAATTGCAGCTTGTATGGGATGGTGAATGGCAGCAAAAGGTGGAATAGACAGATCACATAGGATAACAATGAATGTCAATGTGCCATTTTATTTTATTTCATGATAACGTTGAAAAGAACCAAGATTATGATTTCAGTGTTCCACTCTTTACTATTTGTAAAATAATTACTTATCAAATTGTGATGAAATGTGTTGAAAATTTTGCAATTAAGCCTAATTTTATTTGCTCAATGCCTCGAATAGAGTATCAATTGCAGCCGTAGATAAGAATTGTCACGGCTATAAATTGCAGCTTGTATGGGATGGTGAATGGCAGGAAAAGGTGGAATAGACAGATCACATAGGATAACAATGAATGTCAATGTGCCATTTTATTTTATTTCATGATAACGTTGAAAAGAACCAGCGGTTGTGTATCTTCTAAAGGTCAAAATTTTTATCCGACTTTGATGGAACTTCAGTATATGTTTATATCCAAGTGATTTCGGTTCCTTTCGATAATCGCGCAATTCTTACTCCCTGGATTATGACCTCTGATTATACAAAAAATCATTTCTTTCTTAACTTGTTCTCTGTCCATCTCTTGCAAAATGTGGATTATTTTGCATGGCAACCGCTTGATTTTGTAAGAAACAATCACCATTCGTACTCCCGTCCCAATAATGGGACACTGCCCACAATTGGTAGAATATTTTACTATGCATTAAATAATGAATTTATACACATCTATGTAGTCGTGTCTAATAAAAATCTAATTATATGCTCACATTTTAGTGTGGCACATTATGTCGTCACCCTGTCCGTCTGTCAACAATTGACTTGTGAAAGCGATAGATTCTTTTCAAATTTTATGTGAAGCATTGTGGTCACGAGTGGACGAACCCTATCGATTTATAACGTTCCGCGACTTTTCATACCGGAGGTGTGCCCCTTTTTCCAAAACCTTGTGAACGCGGCAGATTCTAGTTTTCGATGGAAGCATTGGTTTGAACTATTGTGGTCACGAGAGGACGGACATTGCCGATTTAGAACATGGGACTTTTCATTCCAGAGTTATTTTCCCTTTACCGAAAACATTGTGAAAGCGATAGAGGGTGTTGTGTATGACGGATTTATTTCAAATTCTGCTTGAAGCATTGTGAATGGGACAGAGACTATAGTTTTCGGCGGATTCTTTTGAAACATTGTGATCATAAGAGGATGAACCCTACCGCTAATCAGCATTCTACGTCTTACCGTTCTGGGTTCACCCAGCCCCCCTCCGCTTGAGTGTACCTGTTCCTGTCACGACCTAACTATAGTACAAACTAAATTGGCCTAGGCCATTCCTAACACGACCCCTCTTGGTTATTGTATTGAAAATACAAATATATTCATATGTTCATATTGTTATTAAATAATGGTATACTAATTATTTGTATTGTTTATCTTTTCAGGCGCAACTTTCTGTGAGTATATACCTATTTATATTTATTATAGAAACAAGCTATAGTTTTAGTCAACAAATCATATTTTAATTTATCCTATAAAAGAGTAGGACAATAAAACCTATTTCATTTCATTTCATTTATTATATAAAAGGGTGTGGTTTTAGCTTTCAACATCTTCTATGGGTTGAACTATTTTATAATAAATCACGGTCTGGATTCAGTTAAATACTTTGAAAATGAAATGAAACGGTGTCCTGCATTGAGTTAACTTTTATACTATAAACCACATTTTATCACAAACTGATTCAGTTATCTAACGTCTATTGGCACACTGATCAGCAGTGAATTTTCGCTAGGCCGCTACAATCACTGATAAGGATGACATCGATGCAACTTAATGAGCCAGAAATATTAACTTTTTTCCTGCAACAAATTAAATTCCAAAACATTTTTTTTTTTATGTATTGGAAAAATAAATAAAGGCGTTTGACGTATTTGTAGGTAAAATTATTTCCTATTTAGTGTAAATGGGTATTAAAATGACTAAAAGGCAGCATTCCGCCCAAAGCAGTAACGTCTTATGTAAACAATGCATGCGCCATTCAGCCAATGATTGGCGCCGCTTGCTGTGACGGCACGTGTTAAGGCAGTCATCTTTGACAGAAATATTACTAGACTCATAATTCTCTGTGAAACAGATTGGTCTATTGGGTGAACTCGTATATTGTCCACCACATTTTATCTCGTTCTGATCCAGTCAACTAATATCCATAGCCTAATATAATATATTGTATATTGACGTGTTACATACCCTGATGGACTTTTACATAAATAATACCAGAACTATTTCTAAACCACCTCAAGTTTTATATAGCGCGCAAGAGAAAGTGAGGAGAGACATTTCTTAACCTCCCGGAGAAAACCCACAATGTTGGACATGTGACCCAACTCCTTGTCACGTACAAGTGTGGAAACTAAACCACGCCACTTGACTCAATGACAGACATTATGATCAAACCTGTACGCCTTAACCATTCGGCCCCCAAACCCCCCGTTTTACATAGCCTAATGAGTTTTTGCATGAATGTTAATGTGTTCAATCAAAATAATACCAGAACCATTTCTAATCCATCACAAGTTTCAAACAATATTGGTTTTGTTTATTTTTAAAAAAGAAATAACAAAAGCGGTATCGTACACATGTTTAAAAGCAACAATGTTAATAAATTTTATGGTTAATGTAGCACTACCACTGCCACATATCTTTGATTTGACCTGATCGTCTAGGGGTTGGTTTGACTCAGGACTGGCTACTGTTGTATCTCACTTCTTAAGGATTTCACCATTGAGTTTTGTCACGATACCGAAATCATATATGTAACAGGAACTGTAGCTGCCGCTTTTCATGCTACTAGAATGTGGCCTTGTTCTTGTTGTTTAGGAAAGGAATAAAGTGTCAACACGTAAATTAAATAAATGTTCTTTATATAACTATTAGATGATTCTGGGTTTGAATACATGATTTGTTGAACTGTACGGTGGTAACATATGATTATAATTAGATTTTGATAGGTTGCGATTACGTTATGACTTATGATGTTACGATTAAGATTATGAATACGAATACGGTTTCTGAAATATACAAAATATAATTCTTAAGTAAAATGTATAAACTTAAACAAAATGTATAAATTCAATGCCTTATTTTTTCTTTAATATATACTTATACAGGGCCTTAGAAAACGAGGCCAGACCGGGCATGGTCTGCAGCCAGGTTCTATTTACATCTTGAGACATACATGGATTTTCAATACTTGTGCAAGTATGCAGAAACAAAACCACATGGCGACCGCGTGCAGAAAGTAAAACTACAAATTGCAATTATTAAAAGAAATGAAAATGATACTTCTCTACAACTTACAAACACATTAAGCATTCCTATAACTTGATTAAACAAATGAATCTTCATTCTTAACTTATTAAAACTTATACTGTATTAATCATAGGTACTAATATGGGCTTCATGCTGCCATTACCAAGTAAAAACCAAAAATCACGAGGTGCCTTACTTCCTCTATTCATATTGAGGCTTAGTGCAATTTACCATAATTGGAGTTACCTCCCCTTAACTGTTTGGCATTATGAGAGACATATTAAATTAATATATAGTTATCAAACAATAATACATGTAGATCTAATAGGAACCAAAATAGTTGTTTTCTATTCCTTTTATGTCATAACAGTTACACAATAGTCTATATTTCAATGTTTAAATTTAACATCTCTTTCTCTCAACCCCAACTCTAAAAGTCTAACTAGCGTGGCGGGACTCAGAAAACCACTACATCATGAAATGGTCGTGTAAAGAACCCAATGTGTGTTTGACTTTAAAGAATCTAAATGATGTCTAAAATTATTCTAGCCCCGCTCTCTCTTATAGGTGCCGAATGACGTGGGCTAATTAGTAATTTTCCACTCACGTGTATTTTAAACAAAAACAGCTTATCCTTGAAGAATGTAAATTACCAACACGTTTACTAAACTTTATCACCCAATAATACATTCTACAGTAGATATCGCTTGTGTGATAAATTTCATAATCTACTGCGATATCTCCCTTTACATGAATTTGATTGGTTAGTTGAAAAGGAACTACTTTTTTTATTTTCAAAGAACAGTTCATTTTCTATTAAAAGTAACTTCTTTTTTTTATTAAAAAACTATTTTTATTTATTTGACCTTGATGGAAACACTGGGTCAATATAAAGTACTTTGCAAGGGTAGAATTGCTGTCAAAAAATGATGTATTAGTACACCGTAATGCAATCAGGTTCAGTTAAAGTGAAATCTATAGCAAAGAATTATATTTATTTTTTTGTGCATGTAAGAAAGGTTGGGTGATAAATAAAACTCCTAATCATTTTTTTTTTTTTATATCAGAGCCTCGTTTTTTTTTAAGTTATCGACTTGTGTTGATTTTTTTTAATATCAAAAAAGACTCGTAGGAGATTCTCTATATACCTCCGTTAACGTATCAAAATAACCAGCATACGTTCTATATTTTTGGTTATGAAATTAGAATCAATAATTTGTAAAGACAAAAATATTGTTTTAGCCACCATTTCTCCATCCTTATCTATGAATTTGACAATATTACTAACGAGGATTAAGACCTTATCTATCTGATAAAATATGTCCCATGTATATTTGGGTTTAATTGTCGATTTTATGAACATGTTGATATACAATGTCATTTTAAAATACAGAAATCAACATCCTTACAAATTATCTATCGAACAAATTCACACAATTCATTTTCACGTTGTCTTAAATCGACCCAACGGATATAATATCTATGGAAGTAATCAGACCTTATCATAAACAATAGTAAATATATGCCGATGTATTTGTTGCATGCTGCATCACAATGATGCGTTTTGAGTTTTGATGTACTGGTTGATGTTTCAAAATGTATCAGTGAAAGCTCACGAGGATGGGCCCTGTTGTTCAGATCGAAAGGAAACTCGATTTAAAATTAATTACGAATTTGAATCACACCATGTATGGTATACTTGATCATTATGTAGTCATTAATTAATTATGCAGTCATTAATCGTCTAACTTGACACCCACCACTACCGCCATGTTAAATAAAAAGCCGAGTATGGTCTAACCCATTATTGGACAGGGTTCCAAATTGTTATGGTTTTGACATGTATAGCAGAATAGGTAATTTGGGAACAAAATGCCATTTGCAACAACCATTACGCCACAATTTTTTATAAGGAACAATCCCCATTCTTAGTCCGTCCCAATATTCGTAGAGTATTTTATAATGCATCGAATGATTAATTGATAAAAATAAATATAATCTTGTCTGATATAAATCTATAATTTATTTATGATTAACATTTAACGTGGTCATCAAAATAAAATAAAACCAAGTACGAACAATCCAGGGGGGTGGATGGCTGAATGGTTAGCGAGCGCGCGCTGTATCATAAAGTCTGTCATTGAGTCGACTGGCGTGGTTTCGAATCCCCGGTTGTACGTGACAAGGAGTAGGGTCGCCTGTCCAACCTCGTGGGTTTTCTCCGGGTCCTCCGGTTTCCTCCCACTGCTAAAGACCCCTACGCGCAAGCGAATTATTGAAATAAAATTGAACTATATGTTAGTCCCGAAATGACCTAGTTTGTGTCGAGTGGACGTTAAACCCCATTTCTCTCTCTCTCTCTCTCACGAACAATCCAAACCATAAGACAGAATTCGAAGTCCTAAAAAACGTTATTATAGGCAAAATAGTGTATTCAAGCAAAATAGTGTAATCAGCAAATGGACTGTTCCTTGTGTACAAAATACATGACAAACAGTGGTAACAGGTGACCGGAAGAGTAGGCTTACCCTGCCTGGCGCCACACCTGCCATAGCTGCATCCAAACTATTAGGCGAAATGTCGGTAAAATAGCGTGATTGGCCAATGAACTATCGGTATGCAAAATGCACGCGATGAACTGTGTTAACGATGTAGTAGACATTATCAGGGAGATAGTAATAGTATACGTGTCAATTAAATATATCTAGAATAATAGCCGAACGTTTGGTCACATTAATAAGATAATAATCATCATTTAATAGCAGGTTAATAGCCTGGTTTACATTCAGTAATCTGAAAATAAATTAGTATACAATGAACAAAGTGAACATGATGGTATATTTTGAACATTTTCATAGATAAACAAAACATAACGATCATGTATATTGTCTTCCGTGAGCGAATCTACATAAGTAAGCCGATTTTCATAAAATGAGCAACACACACTTTTCATCGATGCAAAATGTATTATTTAAACAATGCACAATGTATTAGGTACATTTCTATGTGTGTATTGTCGGCCGCATTGGTTGGGCTGGTGGAATAGGGAAGTAACTTAGAAGAACATAGTTTGCCTTGAATTTATGAAGAACATCCAGATATATTCTTATGACTGATAAATTACTATATTTAATGCATATTTTATGTTTTTGAGCTATGTCCCATAAAATGAGACGCATCCCAGATAAAAACAATCCAACCAATCGTCCGTAAATAATTAAGACTGTCAATTGTTCAGTTCAACGCCAATTATATATAGAGTATTTTAAGCAAATTACGTACTACATGAATTACGTTTTAAATTGCAGGATTTTTGACATTTTGTTCAATGAAAATTGGAAATGAAAAAATCTGTTAGAACAAATATAAGTTGAGAAAAATAGGCCTATATATAACACATGATTATTTACCAATTGCAATGTACTTTATTTCACATTTACTGGAGTAAATATTTGTCGCTGGACATTTACAAATAAAGTTTTGTCAGGAAAATGTGTATCCATAATGGGCCCATGACGTGACTTTTGAAATAGTTGATATCAATACCTGTATTACTATATAAAAACAAAATAGTATTCCATTGAGCATAACCAGACACAAAAATATTCGAAATATATTTTGAAATATTTAACTCCAAAATGGGTATTATTTCACTGAGCGTAGCCAGGCACAAAATTATTAGAATGACGTACATCGTCAAGTGTAGCTTACATGGTGTGGACTTTAAAAAGAAAGAGTTCAGGAAAAATGTAGGGTTAACAAAATCAAAGCGATAACATTAACGCCAGGTTGACTTACTTTGACACACATTTGTCTGAAGTTGCTATTATACTTTTACTAAAATTGATGAGATATTCAAACAGCTGCGGACACTTAAAATTATGTGTATTAATCGAATGTGTCTTGGGATCAACACGCTGTTGATAATTTTAAATTATCTTACAAATTTTATTGTGTATGGAATTTCAACTGCCAAAAAATATATTTCTTTCACTGGTAATGTATATATATATACGACATACTAAAACTAACGTGTGTAAAACATCGACAGTTTTTGCTTTCTGTTCTTGTCACGACCTGGGGGCCACGGTGGCTTAGTGAGAAAGTCGTTGCCTTGCTAACCTGGATTTCCTGTGTTCGATTCTTGCGTTGGCTGAGAAAGTTCATCGGTATTTTCTGTTGTTCCAACCCCTTGTAAGTAGTGTAGGACTGAGGGCTCGGCAAGGGAAAACCTATAGTCAGACGGATGGGACGTGCACGTAAGGGATCCCTTGGCAGTTGGAAATTGTTATCATTGTAGGCCATGGCGCTTCTCTCCGGGCGCAATTTCTCTCATGCGCGTCTTCATTAATCCAGTCGGAACAGAACAATAGTTCAGATGGAGCGTGCACGTAACGGACCCCTCGGCAGTTGGATTTTATATATGACTAGACCGTCGCACTGCTGTCCGGGCAAAATTCCCCTCATAGCACACTGTATGGCGTATGCCCGTCTCCATTATTGTTAACATAGCACAAACTAAGTTGGCCTAGTTTGTTCCTGAGACGACCCCTCTTGCTTATTATTTTTGTCAAGTCGTATCTTATAATTAAAATACGAATATATCCGTATGTTCATGTTATAAAATAATTGCGTATGACATATTGATAGTTGATGCTGTGCGAAAGATGCTATGTAGAAAGCGTGAAGGACAAATGGGATGTGGCAGAGCGCAAATGTCAAATGTAATGAGAGAAATGTAAAGTGTAGACACGTCAAAAAAGCATTTTCCCACAAAACATTTGTCATTTCACACTTAACATTTGACGTTTTACATTTAACTCTTGCCTTAGAGGTATTTTGTCTTTATCATTATCGGTATAAGGACTTTGTACATTTTACTTATTACATATAACCAATGGAAACCACATTGTCTCAGAGCATTTAATATTGGCAGCGATACCCGTCCATAATTGTTTTCGCTCTAGTAGATTCGATGGAGCTTAGCCATGCAATAACTACACATTTTCCATGTTATTGCACACTTATGCTAGTTTACATCAGTTTTAGTAGAAACATGCAAACGAGCATGGGCATTATTATTGACATTTTACATGCTAAGACAGAACTAATATTCACCTCCAAGGGTACTTAAAATCGTCCAGTCTATTAAAGAGACAATTCTTACTTTTGCTCACTGTTACTTACATTTCCTTCA